CACCCTCGGGATGCGCTGAGACGGTGACTGAGACTGGGCATGGTGGCATGCACCTATAATCCCAGAGTCTGATCTGTGTAGTGAGACCCTGTAGACACTGTACTAAATAAATAAATAAATTCCCAAAAGTCACTACTGTCTTTGCAAAGGGCGTGGCCCCTGCTGTTCGAGAATATTCAGCTTACCTGCTGTTGTATTTTGGAACTCATCCTATTGGGGGGTCATATTTGGGTTCAACAGGACACCTGGATTAAAAGTAGACCTGAAAGTGAGCTGGAGGGAGGACCTGTGCCTTGCTATGGTGGGGGACAGCTGAGGGCAGGCAGTGCAGGATGTGGAGGATGGGTGATGGGAGACAGGGAGGAGGATGGGTGATGGGAGACGGGGAGGAGGATGGGTGATGGGAGACGGGGAGGAGGATGGGTGATGGGAGATGGGGAGGAGGATGGGTGATGGGAGACGGGGAGGAGGATGGGTGATGGGAGACGGGGAGGAGGATGGGTGATGGGAGACGGGGAGGAGGATGGGTGATGGGAGACGGGGAGGAGGGGTCCTGAGCACAACTGTGAGGCGCAAGGTCTGTGTGAGGCCTGGACAGCTGGTGGCAGGGCCCCAAAAGTCCCTTCTGAGGTGTGAGCTCTCAGACAGATTTTGAGAGCACTGATTTTTATTTCAGAAGGATGTATTTATTATCATAGAAGGTTAAAGTAATAAGGGAGCCTCAGTCAATTCTGAAAATATTAAAGTAACTATCAGATGAATTGAACAAAATGCCAAATATCCCAAATCACCACAATATAGTTGTTTAATTGAAAATACTGCTTCCTAACACAAATAATGGGAGCCCTCACAGAATGGGAGACACACAAAAGGCCTTCCTAGATGCTGCCTCTGCACCCACCTTGTGCACAGATGTACCCTGATGCATCGGTTGTAGCCAGACCAATAATGTAACAGAGGCTGTGGTACGAGCTCACGTGAAGAAGCCAAAAACCCAAGCCGGGATGGTTCAGCTCTCTAGGGATGGGCAGAGCTCCAGCCAGGTGACAGCTTGGATTTATGGACTTTGAGACCTCGGGAGCCACAGTGTTTTTCTCCACCTGTTTTTCATTAGTGCATGTTGGCTGTGCAGGTTAATGGATTTTTTCTTGACAGACTGGTACATGCACATAATATTCTTTAATCTTCGGGCAGGCAGTATTTCTTTATTGCTTAATTTCTAAAATGGAGAAATTAATTAATTTGCCTGAAGGACAGTGGGTTTGCTCTGAGTATCTTTACTTTTAAATTTTATGGTATTATAATTTTAGAATGTTTTGGACTGAGTCATGTTTTACTAACACAGTATTTTTAAGGACACACATGGATTAAATTATCCTTTTGCAACAGTTTTTAGAAGGTAGTGTCAAGAAAACTATCTAACATGTCTCACTGTCTGTCTCTTATTTTATAAGGTAAGGGTATCTCATAGTTTGTGAAGTACTTAGGATGGTTCCTGGGCCATAGTAAGCTCTAGATAAATGGAAAATATAAAAACAAACACATATTTAACCATACAGCGTGAAATAATTAGTTTACTCCAGGATCTCCAAGCACTTTAATCTAAGAAGTTTTGCCTGATGTTTGAAATTGCTTGTGAATCTATCTGCTTTTTACACATAATCTGTTCCCCTTTATGCAGATGGTGAGGCATTTGTACAGATCTAGTAAATTTCTTTCTACTTGGGAGTATGATCCCAAATTCATAACTAGAAAAAGTACAACATCGTTACCAACCTTCAAAAATATAAGTTGGAATACTGGACACTTCTGTAGTCTGCATTTTGGTAAATTTACTCGCCCATCTTTTTGACGTGCGCAAATGTGGCAGGCTTATCTGTCCTCTGGTACTCATCAAATCAATGACCTCTTCTGGAACCTTCTCTTCCCTCATGCTTATTTAGAGAGATCTTGAAACTATGCCAGTGTGGGAGGTCCAAGGAAAAGACCAGGGGATTTGGGAAGAACCTCTGGGTATCCTAGGACCCCGTCAGCTGGGCCAGTGCTTGGCGAAGTACTAAAGAGGGAAAATCCATGCCTGGGAGCTTCCTGTTTCCTACTTTGTTGTTTGCTCTTTTCTACTTGAAATATCAAGTAAACTGACTATTTTGTTGAATGATATTGTTTATATAACAAGGAAACCATTTGCTCATAAGGATTTATGATATAACTCATTGTGAACATTATTTTTAGTTTTGAAGTAGTGATAAAAATGGTGAGAAGATGGAAGAGTGCTGAGCAGGCCCCTCTCTGTGTACCTGTCAGTCAGCTTCCCTGAAGACGAAATCTTACACAGCAATAGGACATTATCAAAACGAAGGAATTAGCACTGGCACCATGCAAGTAACTAGACTGGAGTGGACTTTTAAAGAATGAAAAGTGTTGAGGGGGCTGGGGAGATGGCTCAGTAGAATAAGAGCTTCCCTGGCAAGTGTAAGGACCTCAGTTCAATCCTCGGTTCCAAAAA